CAGCTCCAGTCTTGGCTTACTATGACCATACCAAAAAGCTGAAAGTATCTACAGACGCATCCAAAGATGGTATTGGAGCGGTACTTTTGCAAGATGAGGAAGGACACTGGAAACCAGTGGCTTATGCGTCGCGAGCCATGACAAAAGCAGAATGCAGATACGCTCAGATTGAAAATTTGTGTTTGGGTCTGGCTTTTGGACTGGAGCGGTTCCATTCTTACATTTATGGACTGTCGTCTTTTACAGTGGATACCGATCACCGTCCACTGGTCTCAATAATTAAAAAGAATCTGAACGAGATGACGCCACGGATTCAGCGCTTGATGATGAAAATGCAAAGATATGACTTTGAGCTAATCTATACGCCTGGAAAGCATTTGGGGCTTGCAGATGCACTGTCCAGAGCGCCAGTAGATCACTGTGTGAGTAGCACAGATGAAGATGTTAATAGCCATGTAAAGTTTATATCGAGTGTGTTGCCCGTGACGGATACAAAATCACAACAAATAGCTAAAGCAACGTTGGTGGATACAGAACTACAGCGTGTCATTCAGAACATGGATGAGGGATGGCCAGCAGGATCATGTCCTCACTTTTACCATGTCAGAGGAAATCTCAGCTTTGTTGATGGACTATTGTTGAAAGAAGGAAGAATAGTTATCCCACAAGCTTTGAGATCAGATGTGCTAAACAGGATACACAAAGGACATCTCGGTATTGAAAAATATAAAAGGAGAGCGAGAGCAGCCTACATCACCATGGCACAAAGTAGGAATGGACTTGTTTCACTTAAAGGGCAAGGACTATCTTGTAGTCATTGACTATTTCTCAAACTTTCCCGAAATGGCACTACTCGCAAACACATCATCCGCATGTGTGATCACTCATATTAAATCGATATTTGCAAGGCATGGGCTACCACACATGGTAGGGAGTGATGCTCACCCAGAACCACCTGTTACACCCTCTGTGAACAATAGTACAAGCACTGCGGAGCAACACGAACTCAGAAGGTCCACACGGGAAATAAAGAAACCTGACCAACTGAACTTATAAAGTTATGGTTATAAATAGTCAGGATGTTAATATTGAGTGTTATTTTGGTTTCAAATATCTTGTTGGTCTCGATATTGTGTTGTTTTACGATGTTGTATTTGTATACTAGATAGAGGTAGCAACAAGAAAAATGTTGTGCTACATAGATTTTATTTGTTACTGTTAATTTTAAAGCACATTGTTCATCTTCAAAGAAAGGGGGATGTTATGATCAGTAGATTACTGGAGGTTACCACTAGGTGGCGTTGTTGATATGCATGACGTTATAGAGAGAGTGCTGTAATGACCTCGAGATGAACATGATTAAAAGTAGCTCCCTGTACAACTCGTTTGGATTATTAAACACGAACACAACAGTATGGACACAGGAGAAAACTGCATTTTCTCAGGGAACTACTATAAATCAAAGCGCGAATGGTGCCCCCTCTAGGCCAGTGTTTTTCAACCACTGTGCCGCGGCACACTAGTGTGCCGTATGATATTGTCTGGTGTGCCGTGAGAAATTCGTCTACTTTGTCTAAAAATAACTGCATTCGCTGTTGACGAGCGGTGACTTGTTTTGAACTGTGGAATAACCATGTAATACTTTTTCAAATCAGTAGATGGCAGCAGATAGCTAAGTACTTTGAAACTGAAAAATTGGATGCGACCACTGGCTGTAACAGGTCAGCATTGTGGCGAGAAAGGTAAAATTGGATGCGACCAACAAATGTGGGAGGGAGCGAGACAAGAACTTTGTGGCGAGTGAGAAGTGAAAGTGATAGAGACGTTTTTGAAAATGAATTATGCCGTTTCTGAACAGGATTAACATCCTCCGCTCTGCCCCGGGGCAGCTGTGGCAGCGTTGTAGTGGTTTAACTATGAAATGTACAATTTTTGTACAACAGCTCTCGCGAACGCACTTCTGAACTGGGTACCGAGCGCAGACCATAGTCGAGTGGACAGAACCACAGACATGCGGACCGGACAGAACCATGGACTCGCGTTCAGGACCTCCCGTGTCCCTCATCCAAAATTCCTGAATTTAAAGCTCGGATACCTAAATTTTTCCCATGCACTAACAATGCATGTTCTTTGTGTGACTTATTATTTGACTATTTGGGCAGAGAGTGGATTTTCTTAGTTTTTTTCCACACAGTTAGTGCCACTTTATTCCCAAACTCTTGTTAATTGTATCTAGAAATATTAAATAAAGCTTAATGTCAAGGCCTGGACTTAAGCATTTTGATGAGAATAACTGTATATTGTGAATATAGGCTACAGAGTATACTGTATACATTATAAGATAAGATAAGATATACTTTATATATCACACAGAGTATGTACAGTATATATTTTTACATTAGTACTGTATATGTCAAATGGCGAGGTATGGGTTGAAAACTCTATGCACATTAACCATTTGCCTATAGCCACCGTATACCTTGTGTGCAGTGTGTAGTTTGCAGGGGCTACAGAATGACTTTGGCGAGTGGAGCACCGCAGACTGTAACCACACCCCCCCCCCCCCCAATAGACCTATAGCGGCATACTATTGGACGCAGATCTATAGGATGAACTATATAAACCGCCCAGAGCCGGCCCTCAAAAAAAACGCGGAAACTGAAGCAGAGTTAGAGACTAGACTCGACAGCAGGGACACGCAGAAGGGACACGCAGGACACTCGAAGAGCGGCCCCAGGAGCAGCCCCTGTACCAGCCCCGGTACCAGCCCGGAGCGGCACCAGGATCAGCGCGGAACAGACGAGACGGGTCGCAAGTCTTCTGTGGCGGACGGACGCGGTGCAGCAGGAGCGGCCCAGGGATTTACAGGACGCCAGGGTTCGAGACGCACATCCAATCTGCTTGCGCGCACTATCGGAGCCCACCAGGAGTGTGGAGAAAAGGCCAACACCAAGCTAAGTAAAGGGACGTCTGCAGCCTCTCACTGTCGTTGGGGAATTTGCAGTGTGTGTGCAGTGTGGTGTTTTTAAGTGTGATTTCCCCTGTCCCCCCAACCAGTGTGACCGAGGCTCGGACAGACGTAGGCAGACGCGCGCTCTGGGAGTGCGGGCGGACTGGTACGCAGAGCCAGCTCGGCCTGGATCAGCAGCGGACCAGACCAGCCCGGGGTGGCTAGACCGCGCACGCCAGATAAGTAAAAGGCCATTTTAGAGGGGCGTGATTGTGGACGGGCCCTCACAGACTGGACTGCTCAACCCTCTCCTCTGGACGTCGTGTTATCCCCCTTACTCCCCTCCCCAAAGTAGTTTAGGCGCTCCTTGTATATATTGTACATAGTTTTACTGGAGAAACAGGCTTAGACCTATTTTTAGACTCCATTGACTCTTTTAAAATACGTTGCTTTTAACGTTGAATGAAACTCATTAAAACACTGTTAACTTTTATCTGGTTGCATCATTTCCTAAGAGTGGAAGTATTTTTGGTGGTGTAGGACCAAATCGTGACATTATTTTTGGCGTTGCTGGCAGGATCCACCACTCCACTTTTAGGAAATGGATCCAACACAGAGTGGGTCAAATGCGGGAAGCTCCACCCATTTTGTAATGCCGTGGTTCATGGGTGCAGCCTGGGTCCCTAAATTTACTGGCGACTCTATTAAATTCTCAGAATGGAGGGACCAAATAGAAGTAATGATTAGAGCTCAAGGACTAAGCCCACAACAACGGACAGACTTTGTACTTGGGGCTGTAGAAGGAGATGCAAAGCGAGAACTACTGCTGTTAAGTACTGAGGAGAGGGACACTGCGAAAAAGATTTTTGATTTTTTAGACACTGTATTGTAAGCCGGCCACTAAAGCCCAGCTGCGAGTTACTTTTTTAAATTGTAAACAAAGAGCGGACGAGTCTGTAGGAGCGTTTATTCTGCGCCTTCAAGAGCATTATAAACTGTGGAAGGGGGAAGACATGGATGGGGCTGACGAGGGGGGTGAGTTACTGCTTGAACAATTATTGATAGGGATGTACAAGGGAGCAATTAGACAAGAATTGGGGCGACAGATGCGACGTCAGGAGGGCATGTCATTCAAAGATGCCTGCAAGGAAGCTTGTGCCCTAGAGCAGGAGCTAGAGGGTGACACTGCCCTGGCCAATCGGGTGGCTGCTCAAGCGCCCTTTAGCCCAGTAAGGCCAAACTTTGAACAGATGAAAAAACAGATTCAGGTTGAGCTAAAGACTGAAATGATGGGTGAAATAAAAAAGGAATTACAAGAGCAACTAAAAAGTTTGTCCTCCTCCCTGGTTAGTGAAATTAAAGCACAGCTCTCCCCACAAAACTGCCCACCCCCTTTAATGCCGCCTGCCCAGTTCAGATCGCATCAACCCTCCTACCAGTGGGATGAACGGGGCCGCCCCATCTGCTTACAGTGTGGACTTTCTGGACACGTTCGGCGCTGGTGCCCACAAAGGCAACAAAGACAGCAGGATTTTTAGCAACCCCTACAGCTGAGGGCCAAGCAGTGGGGGCAGTGATTTCGACCCAGGAGCCCACAACCCTGAGGACTTCCCAGGACAATCCTTCATCTGAGCCAGGACCCAGGTCTGCTCTAGTGGGTGAGTGCCCCAGTGTGTCCATTAAGATCAATAACGTAGATATTCCTTTTGTACTTGACACCGGTTCCCAAGTTACCCTGTTGAGCCAAACTTTCTTTAGAAAGCACCTCGGTGGGACGGGGCTCACAAGCGCGGAGGCGATCCCATGGCTCAATCTACGGGCAGCAAATGGACTCAAAATACCGTATATGGGGTATGCTATGGTCGACTGTACAGTGGGAAATATACCAGTAATTGGGAAAGGAATAATTATCGTCGAAGATTCGTGCTTGGGCCCGGAGAAGGGAATATTAGGCATGAACTTTATTGAACCAATCTGGTCTGCTTTGACACAGGGAAGCCATCCTGGACTGGCGGCCTTCCGGACCATCATCCCTCCGGCTGAAGGGAGAATGTGGATCGAAGCATTCACACAATGCCAGCGGGTGGCCTCCAAGGGTCCTCGCTCATTGTTTGAAGGAGCTGCCAAACTGCCCCGCCAGGTGGCCGTCACTATTCCACCACACTCAGAGATGGTGGTTTGGACCTGCGTAACTAATAATGCGCCGGGGAATCCATGTACGGTGCTGGTGGAACCCCTACCTGGTAGTGATAATGAGTGGTGTATTGGGTGCACTCTGGCCACCTTAAGTGGAGGCAGAGTCCCCTGTCGAGTATGCAACCCAAATCCCTATCCTGTGGAGGTCCCCCAACGGGTACCCCTAGCCCGGGTTACAGAGGTGGAAACTGATGACATTCAAGGGGAACAGGAACTAGTTTTCAGCCAGGTGGAGCCTGATGTGGTAGAAGTAGCGGTGAGGCGTGTGGGGATTTCTGCAGAAGCTGATGAGAATCTTCACCCAATATTGTCCTTACAGGGGGATGGCCTTACGGAGGAACAGCAGCAACAAATGAACAATCTACTTCGGAAATGGAGCGGCATCTTCTCCCAGCATGAGGACGATTTCGGTCGCACCAACATAGTAAGACACCAGATCCCCACAGGTGTTGCCCCGCCTAGCCGAGAGCGTTACCGCCCGGTGCCTCCGAGCCTTTATAGCGAACTCCAAGTCCTTCTTAAGAACATGCTGGAGAATGGCGTTGTGAGAGAAAGTTCAAGTCCTTGGGCGGCACCCATCGTATTAGTCAAGAAGAAAGATGGGAGCTGGAGGTTCTGTGTTGATTACCGTAAGCTGAATGCTCTCACACATAAGGACGCTTACCCATTGCCACGGATAGAAGAATCCCTCACCGGACTGAAGGCGGCCAGGTACTATTCCACGTTGGACTTGGCTAGTGGGTATTGGCAAGTCGAGATGGATCCAGAAGATCGGGAGAAGACCGCCTTCACTACACCCTTCGGGCTCTATGAGTTCGAGCGAATGCCCTTCGGCTTATGCAACGCCCCGGCCACGTTTCAGCGGTTGATGCAGCGCTGTCTAGGGACTATGGTAAATGATTCACTTTTGATATACCTTGATGATGTGGTGGTCTTCTCTGCAGATTTCAACAGCCATGTTCGACACCAGGAGGAAGTGTTCCAAAGGTTGTCGGAGCATGGACTGAAGCTTCAGCCAAAGAAATGCAGCCTGTTCCAACGCCAGGTGATCTATTTGGGACATGTGATTAGCGAGGAAGGCGTGGCCACAGACCCGGCTAAAACGGCGGCAGTTCGAGATTGGCCAGTCCCCCAAAATGTGCGCCAGGTGAAATCATTCCTTGGGTTTGCCGGGTACTATCGTCGTTTCATCCCGAACTTCTCCAAAATTGCTAGACCCTTGCACGCTCTCACCCACAACACCACACACGAACGGCGGCCGACCCCAGTTAGCTGGTCAAGTGAATGTGAATGCGCCTTCGAACGGCTAAAAAGTTCCTTGCTGAGTGCTCCTGTGTTGGCATATGCAGATTTTTCTTTGCCTTTTCGACTCTTCACAGATGCTAGTCTAGATGGCCTAGGGGCGGTATTGGCGCAGGAACAACACGGCAAGGAACGAGTGATCGCATATGCTAGCCGGAGCCTCCAGCCAACAGAGAAAAATTACCAAAATTATAGCTCATTCAAACTAGAGTTGCTGGCGCTAAAGTGGGCAGTTACGGAGAAGTTCAAAGATTACCTGTATGGTTCTGAGTTTGTAGTCTATACAGCTAACAACCCTCTGGTACACCTGGAGACCGCACGCTTGGGTGCCGTAGAACAGAGGTGGGTGGCCCAACTGGCCAACTTCGCCTACACTATTAAATACCGCCCAGGCAAACAGAACAGAAATGCAGACGCACTTTCCAGACTGACCAGTCCATCTCTGGCGGAACCGGCTGAAGTAGACCAGATCATTGTCTCTAGAGATTACGCCTGGGGAGAACAGCAGGTTGAAGACCACGAACTGGTTCAGATAATACAGTGGAAGGAACAAGGGATAACTCGACCAGAGACTAATGCGGACATGTCCCGTAATATGACATTAATGCTAAAGGAGTGGGACAGACTATATATTTGTGATGGGGTTCTGGGGAGGTGCCGGGAAGAGGGATGCATTGGCCCCTCTGTCTTTCAGGTTCTTGTCCCGCATCAACGGAGAATGGAGGTATGGAAGGCGTACCATGGAGAGATGGGGCATCCCGGTGGCGACCGGACCGCATCCATCATCAGGGAACGCTGTTACTGGCCGGGGATGACTCAGGACATCAAGAAATGGACAGAAGAATGTCCCCAGTGTATCTGCGCAAAGGCTGGACCAGATGGACGGGCCCCTTTGCTTCCAATCCATACCTCCTATCCGTTCGAAGTTGTGGGCGTGGACTATCTCTCGCTAGGACGGCCCCAAGATAAGTACCCCTATATTCTTGTCCTGACCGATCTATTTTCTAAATATGCTATTGCTGTGCCAACCAGGGATCAATCCGCAGAATCCACTGTCCAAGCCCTCTATCGCAACTTGATCGTGACCTTTGGGTGCCCTGAAAGAATCCTCACAGATCGTGGAGGGGCGTTTGAATCCACCCTTATGAGCCAGTTGTGTCAGATATATGGTTGTACAAAAAGTCGAACCACAGCCTATCACCCCCAGGGAAACGGAGCCTGTGAACGGTTTAATCAAACTCTCCTGCAACTGCTTAATTCGCTTTCGGAGAGCCAGCAGGCCCAGTGGTCCCAACGGCTACCAGCGCTAGTCCAAGCATATAATAATACAGTTCACAGCGCAACTGGGATGACTCCGCACTATGTGTTATTTGGGAGACATGCAAGGCTACCTGTGGATTGGGTGGTCGGCTTGAAACCCCCCCTTGAGTCTTACACGCTGGACAGCTGGGTTAGGCAGCACCAGAAAGCTTTACAAGGTGCATATGATGTTGCCGAGCAAAATTTGCAACATCGCAGGGAGCAAGACAGACACAGGCATGATCAGAGGGCTCGTCTACCGCCACTTCTACCGGGTGAACGGGTGCTGATTCGAAATTTCCGCTGGCGAGCACAGGGCAAGCTGGCACATCGATGGAAGTTTGAGCCATGGGTGGTGGTGAAAAACCTAAGTGAAGGCCACCCTGTATATGTGGTTAGACCAGAAGGTAGAGGGGGACCTACTCGCACCATACATAGGAATAACCTTCGCCCGTGTCCTCTGACTATTTTACAGGAGGCTCCCCCAACTGAGCCACAGCCACAAGCAGGACCCAGTCAACAGCCCTGTCTGCCACCTGGAGCCTACTGGATACCAGGAGTAATGGTCTCGCAACAAGTTCAACCCAGAGCACCAAGTCCGGTTGAAATTGGACCCCAGAGACCCCAGGCTGCTCCAATAGAACCACAGGTCAGAAGGTCGCAGAGACGCAACTTGGGCAATCCACCTCCACGTTTTAGGTAATGATTGGCCGGGACGACCAAAGTTAAACGAGGGGGGAAATGTCAAATGGCGAGGTATGGGTTGAAAACTCTATGCACATTAACCATTTGCCTATAGCCACCGTATACCTTGTGTGCAGTGTGTAGTTTGCAGGGGCTACAGAATGACTTTGGCGAGTGGAGCACCGCAGACTGTAACCACACCCCCCCCCCCCAATAGACCTATAGCGGCATACTATTGGACGCAGATCTATAGGATGAACTATATAAACCGCCCAGAGCCGGCCCTCAAAAAAAACGCGGAAACTGAAGCAGAGTTTGAGACGAGACTCGACAGCAGGGACACGCAGAAGGGACACGCAGGACACTCGAAGAGCGGCCCCAGGAGCAGCCCCTGTACCAGCCCCGGTACCAGCCCGGAGCGGCACCAGGATCAGCGCGGAACAGACGAGACGGGTCGCGAGTCTTCTGTGGCGGACGGACGCGGTGCAGCAGGAGCGGCCCAGGGATTTACAGGACGCCAGGGTTCGAGACGCACATCCAATCTGCTTGCGCGCGCGCACTATCGGAGCCCACCAGGAGTGTGGAGAAAAGGCCAACACCAAGCTAAGTAAAGGGACGTCTGCAGCCTCTCACTGTCGTTGGGGAATTTGCAGTGTGTGTGCAGTGTGGTGTTTTTAAGTGTGATTTCCCCTGTCCCCCCAACCAGTGTGACCGAGGCTCGGACAGACGTAGGCAGACGCGTGCTCTGGGAGTGCGGGCGGACTGGTACGCGGAGCCAGCTCGGCCTGGATCAGCAGCGGACCAGACCAGCCCGGGGTGGCTAGACCGCGCACACCAGATAAGTAAAAGGCCATTTTAGAGGGGCGTGATTGTGGACGGGCCCTCACAGACTGGACTGCTCAACCCTCTCCTCTGGACGTCGTGTTATCCCCCTTACTCCCCTCCCCAAAGTAGTTTAGGCGCTCCTTGTATATATTGTACATACTTTTACTGGAGAAACAGGCTTAGACCTATTTTTAGACTCCATTGACTCTTTTAAAATACGTTGCTTTTAACGTTGAATGAAACTCATTAAAACACTGTTAACTTTTATCTGGTTGCATCATTTCCTAAGAGTGGAAGTATTTTTGGTGGTGTAGGACCAAATCGTGACATATACATTTTTACATTTTCTCCTGGAGGTGTGCCGCAAGATTTTTTCAGTGAAAAAAGTGTGCCTTGGCTCAAAAAAGGTTGAAAAACACTGCTCTAGGCAAATGTATCACAGTGCTCATGGGCCACCTTCTCATAACATGGAAACACTCTGCAGACTTACTGCCAGGACAGTCACATAGGAAGAACATAATATTCCACTAAACCCTGTTCTTTGGCTCAACAACAGAGATGCAGCCACAGAATACAAACGTGTTGCTTATCAACCATGTCGCCCTTAGTAATGTTAGCAATTAATATTTAGATATTATAAAGACATCAGACACACAGTGGGCCCAAAGCACTTCCGCGCATGTGTTCCTGAACTTTATTTTATGCAGATGTATGAGTCTTCTGTGTTCTCAAGAGATATGTAAGATCATCTTCATTTGGAAACATTTAACAATGACACAGACTTACCGCGTTTATGCTTTCCTGCTCAAGCCTAATAAAGGAAAGTCCCCAGTTTCTTATGCTCAAGGCTAATAAAGGAAAGTCCCCAGTTTCTTATGCTCAAGGCTAATAAAGGAAAGTTCCCAGTTTCTTATGCTCAAGGCTAATAAAGGAACGTCCCCAGTTTCCTATGCTAAAGGCTAATAAAGGAACGCTCCAAATTTCTTATGCTAAGGCTAATAAAAGAGCGTCCCCAGTTTCATATGCTAAAGTCTAATAAAGGAAAGTCCCACTCTCCTATTCTAGATTATGCCTTGATGCCTACCCGAAGGGTAGGGTTGCCAACCGTCCCGTAAAATACAGAATAGTTGTTGAAAAACTATGTGCGTCCTGTATTGAATGGATTGTATTTTCAGAGTCCTTAAATGCATCACTCACTCACTGCTTGTCACACGCACGACACACACGCACGCATGCACGCACACACACTCACAGTAATCACAATTTAGTCCACCTCAAAGGGGGGCGTAAGCTTGATCACATTTATGGGCTTAATGGATGTGAAGTTCGGTGAAGTTTAGCGTCATATTCCCAGATTCAGACTTCCGCGGTCAATAGCTCTCGAAAGCTACGTTGTTAAATGAAAGTCACTGTGCCAAAATTATCACCCCTACATTGATATATCAAATCCTATGCGGTGTTATAATGCCGAGAAATCTATTGAATCCAATGCGCTGCAAGCACTGCGAAAAGCGCTTATGCTGGGTTCACACCAAACGCGTCTTGTGCGTCCAAAGCGTCGGGTTTACATTGAAAATACATGGTGGACGCGCTTCTAGGAGTGTCAAGAGATCCCGCGGCGCGTCTCGAGCCTCCTGAGCAGCGCGTCTTCGCGCGTTTTGCGCTTCTGTCGCGGCATGTTTTGAGATTTTGAGCACTTTGACGCGTGTGTCGTGCCTCCAACGTGCCGACCAATCAGTATCTTTCTCCTACAGTGACCTAGTAACGCATTTCACAGCAGGACCGAGGGGGAAGACAGGAAGACAAGACAACAGCTATGGAGGACAAGCTGTGTGGTTAGCCCATTAGCCCTGCGGACTATAACCACCGTGACATGTAGGAGGGCTAGTGAGGAGGTTGGTGTCTCGGGTAAGTTATTTAAACTTTTCACAATCGTTAATACTTCCACGCGCAAAAACTACAATGTCACAGGGAAAAACAAACCCACAGATTACATATTAAAGCTACACAGAGGAAAGAGTCCATGGAGACAGCAGCTGTAGTATGCTAACATGTAGTATGCTAACATTGTTATCTGTATTCAGATTAAATTGATTCTGTATATCGTTTTTAATCCCATGATAGGACTGGGTATACTGTAAATTTATATACATTTACTGTCTATATTTGGCTTATTATGTAGCACTTTTCATACAATAGTCTGATCAATATAAGTATAGAATGATGAAATAAAAGCACATTATACAGATGTGTCTTTTGTCATTAATAAAAGACATTTACAGATGACAGTCTCAATTCCACAAAAACAGGTTTAAAGTGGTTAGCCACACTTCTAAGTTTGTTATTTGTGTGTATATTTCTATTACATTACTCTTCTGTTCTTCTGAGTTTATGGTCTGTATTAACATTATGCATTTATAAAGTCACCTGATATTGTCATTTTTTCTCTTTGTGTGATTGTGTGGTTTAACTTTTTTCACACAGGCTGTAAATTCTTGTCTTCTTGTGCACTCCTCGCTGCAGTAGACAATAACACCATAACCATCGGAAAGAGGAAAGGCCAAGTATCGTAAGTCATACTTTATTGCTTTCACACTGTATCTTGATAATAAAGAAATATATTATTTGTGCTGTCTACAGTAATGATTTGTAGACATGAACGAGTCTACAGCAAAAAGTCTCAGCCTTACACTGTGAAGGAGACTAAAGACTACAGCTCTATCCCGGACCAGCGCCTCAGCTCTGCTGGGGGACTCATGACCCCAGGACCCTGGGTCCTCTGCCCGGCATCATCCCTCCTCCTACAGCTGAACTGGAGCAGACACAACAGAGGACAGGTGATGATTATCAAATGGGAAAAAAAGTCTAAAATAATATAAAATATATTTTTCTTTCTTTTTCTAGGACTTGATATCTGGTCCCTGAACAGTGGCTGACAGCAATCAAAGATGGACACAGCACATTTATTTATATTATGTCAGATATACATATACACATTTTTTCCCAAACATTGAAATAAAAGTAAGACTTATTTCTGTGGTGATGAATTAAAATTATTCCCCACTGTGGGACGAATAAAGAGGGCTTCTTTATAACCAAGAAGTCCTGTTTCTGACCTCCCAAATAAAAAATGAAATTTGGGGCTTTTTCTGATATACGAAGCATATATTGAAAAATGAACAAATTGCCGTTTTCCATTGAATCACGGCCGTAATATTGGATTTTGCATTGTTTTCTTTAAACTATTGTAAACGTCGCAATATTCAAAATCAAATATTTGTTCAAACCGAAATAAATAAAACCATGAAGGTTTTAATATCGTTTTATTCCTTCATACTGCCCAGGCTGCAGTCCCTCCGACGCATCCTGCACACACAACCCGAGGTGAGTGAGTGCAACACTTCCAAATCTTATGCCACGTAATCCTGGATCTTTTATAACCAGCACCAACGAACTCCACTGAAAGGCAGGGTTTACCCTGCTGCAGTTTCCTCACGGTAGTGCTGTCCTTCAGACCACGGTCGCCTTCGTTCAGGTCCTCTTGGCCCCTTTGGTGATGCAAGGGCCGCGGCCGTCACCTTCACCTCACTGCGCAGAGTGTCGCACTCAGCCTGTGCACCCCATGGGGTGGTCTTGTGCGTCCGAGTTTCCAGAGCTCCCCTCTCTCTCATTCACACCGTGGATTCCCCAAGGCTTCTCTCCTGCCTCTGGGACCATGTCTCCGTTTGTCTGTGTTCATAAATGCCCACGGGTCTCCCAACCGCGCCATAACATAACATAACATAACATAACATAACGCTCCATTATTTCCCGGTCCGCCTCTTGACATGAGCTTGTTCCGATCCATATCCTCTGCACCTGCAGACGGCCCAGGCCCCATGTCTGTTCTGGGCCGCCCGGTTCCTCTCCCATGTCCCAGTTGTCCCGTGAGTGGGAGCTCAGGGCGGAAATCCGAGGCCTTTCACCCCAAACAAGTTTTAGGTCGGAAAAATTAAAATATATGAAGGAAAGGGGTATTTCAATTTTTCAACAATGGAAATAAGAAAAAGTCCCAGAGTTTGTTTTTTGATGTGCACGTCAGAAACAAAAATAGAATGAACGGAAGGTACACGGTCCGTGTACTTATGCGTTCAAATACATTTTCTATTTTTGAAGGGAAACAGTAGCTCAGTTGGTAGAGCCCTGGCCTTTGAGCCTGAAGGTCGTGGGTTCGAGCCCACCGTAAGACCTACTTCACGACTCCCACTGATGACTGCTGTCGTTGTGTCCTTAGGCAAGACACTTAACCCCACTTTGCCTGAAGCTCCCACTGAAAGATCTCAGCTCCTGTGGACTCACCACCTGCAGGAGGGTCAGTGAAGGGCTGGTGCTCTGTGTACTGGGTGGCATCTCTGGCCACCCCCCCCAACCCAGAAATGGATTAAGGGGAAGAAAATGGATGGATGAAGGGAAATTGAATATCGAAAAAATGCTATTTTGCATTTTCAGGCACACAGCAATATACAAAAAGAACCATTTTGATTTTTTTCATTGCTTATAAGACATATTTTATTATGTATTTAATACATTTTGGTGTCAATCGATTACCCGGAAGTGAAACAAGTTTGTTTACTCGCACGGGATTAGAATTACCTGTGGACCCCTGATAATTTGTGATAATCACGGAGAACGTCTGAGATTTTGCAGTACATTCACACAGGATAAGCAATATCTGTAAAATACTGTTTTCTCTGACAAAAATACAAAATGTATTGAACGCAAAAGTACATGGACCGTACACGGACCTGGCGCACACTTCCGGTTGCGCCAAAACAAAAAATGAAATCAAATCGGCATGAAAGCATTATTCAATATTTCGTTTTAAAAATGTTTGTATCGAGACGAAAAATCCAATATCAAGGCAATTTTTCTTTAAAAAAAAACAAAAAAAACAATTGAACGAAAAATACTCTGACCCAGTTAGTTGTCAACTTTACCCATAAATGGCAGAGATTGGATGATAGTTGTTAAGTATCGAGGCATCCAGACTGCTCTTTTTTAGCAGGGGCCTGATGACTGCAGTTTTTAGGGCCTTCGGGAGTATTCCAGAATGAAGGTAACAGACTGCTCAGAACAGGCTTAAGATATCTAGTGGGTAGTACATCTACGCTGCATGTGGATGAGCTCAGACTTGTGATGATCTCTTTGACAGTTTTATCATCTACAGTTGCAAAGTGACTTAGCTCAAAGAGCCTTTCTGGCTGTTGGATTGTTATGTGTAGATTGGAGACAATGGCGTTTTTGAAAAAAAACTTTCTCATTGAAAAAATTAGCTAACGTATCACATTACGTTTGGAAGTTTGTTGATCCCCCTGTTCAGTTAATCATTTCAGAAAAATTATTTCAGCAACATTGACCACGTTTACATTTGAAAAGTATTGGAGGAAATTGTTTCTGTTTTATCATAAAACACAAATTTTCAAATGACTAATGCATACTACTGAAGGGGGATCTTGCAGCTTTCTAACAGCGAGAAGTGTTTTTACTATGTTCAGTATGTTTAGGTTTGTGTTCCTTACCATGTACTGTATCTGGTAGAGTAAAATGTATTACTGACATGACATGATAAACTGCAAAAATAATTCGAAACTCGAGAAAACTATTCCAGACATTGAGTCAAATGTATTTTATTGCGCTATGAGATTTAGGCATGCTGGCTAAGATTTTTTGCAGTGTGCAGCGGTCATGGTGATCCTGTCAACTCTTTGGTTAAAGTGTTGCTGGATGGAAGGCAGGCGCATGGTTTGGTCTTTTGGTTCTTGGCTGCGCAGAACAAAGCGGTGTGCTGGTTTTCTGTTTTGCATGACTGTAAACACAAGGCCCCGAGCAGGTCTGTGGCACCAAAGTCACTTAAAGGAATTCCAGCTTCAGAGGAGAGACAATTTTATCGTCACTGACTTTTATGGTGTGGGGTTAGTGGGGATGAGGGTCAGGCAAGGTAAGGCTGTTCCTGATGTACGCCACACAAGATATGATCAACAATGTGGGATGTTATGTGGCGGGAGTTACTGCTTTATATGTTGAAATAGTTTAGTCTCAAGGTCCCCAAATTAGTAGGGTCAATATACTGCCCGCGTACCCACAACCCCAAAAAAATTGCAACATTTTGTTTTTTTTGTGGTTTTATTTTAGACTGGGTCTAATCTTTAACATACTAAAAGTTGAACAAAATCGGAGTATGAGAAAGTGTCGAATTTTGAAGATGACTTTTTCGGTTTACAAGTCATTTTCCATTTACGTGTGAAGCAGTAACTCGGTCAGTTTTCATGATAAATCAATATATCTTGGATTTTTATCCAGGTTTTCAGGGTCAATCTTTCACATGAAAGGATTACCAGTGATGCCAAATAAACCCTTATACCATATCTAGGAGTACCCCTACCCCTAAACACATTGCACCCACCCAGGTTCACATACAAGCATATGGGTGATAATTTTTTATATGGGTACCAGTGGTGAATTAGAACTTTCTTCTATTAACCCTCTATGGCATACTGTTGCCCTCAGGCAACAAACCTGTATTTTGTCTCTAACAATGGCACTTTAACTTTAATTTTGTATTTTATTTTTTTAAATGTCAGCAGACATGTTTCTGTCCAATCATATCAGGGGCTGAGGTGGGTATGGCCATTTGTCTGGGGAGTCCATTCAGGAAGCAGAGTCACAAGTGAGACGGTGCCCAATTTAGGTAAAATAGATATCTTTGTTATACAGGTTTAAAATGGATAACATGGATTGAATAAATATGTGACTGTGCAAAGATATGTCAAGAACCATATTTGATTATTTAGGGCGACAGTAGCTCAGTTGGTAGAGCATTGGCCTTCAGGCCTGAAGGTCGTGGGTTCAATTCCCACCTCTACGCCTTCTCCACCGTCTCCCACTGATGACTGCTGTCGTTGTGTCCTTGGGCAAGACACTTAACCCCACTTTGCCCAAAGCCCCCACTGAAAGATCAAGGCTATGCTCACACTCAGAGAGCAGCCGTCCTCCTGTGGACTCACCACCTGCAGAGGGTCAGTGAGGGGCTGGTGCTATGTGACTTGGGTGGCATCTCTGATTGCCACCCCCCTGACCCAGAAATGGATTAAAGGGTAGAAAATGGATGGATGGATGGATGGATGAACATATGACTTTTATAAGAAAGTATGTTCTAAAACATTGAATTTAGCTTTGTTGCCTCAAAGCAATGTCATGC